CCCCGGGCAGGTCCGGAAGCCAGAAGCCAGTCCCGTGCCGGCCGTCCCCGTGTGACTGTGCCCGTGCACACGCTGCACAGCGGGAAACCACGGCGGTGCCGCAGTGGGGACCATGGGCGAGGCAGAGAGCATCCAAAACCCAGCTCCCCTTTGGCCACCGTCACGCTCTCATCGAACGCAGGACCCAGCTCTGCATCTCCCCCACGTGAACAGGTGAAACGGCTCCAGCACGAGCACCCGCCGTCCTCCCACCCAGCAGAGCCCCAGCCCAGGCTGCCGCAGCCAGAAGCCCCCGCACACCCCGACCACCCACGGGGACGAGCCGGCAGCACCGCAGCAAGCCCTGGAAATGCCTCCAGCAGCTGTGGGCCAGGAGAGGGGCTCTGCAATACATGGGAGAGCAAACCGACCACACGGTCAACGCCTGACCTGCTATTTCAGGTGATTTTCTGGCAAAAAATAAGCTCAATTAGAAAAAGGACCGATTTTCACCACTTTTTTTCCACTGTTGTTAACTATAAATCAACTTAAACCTTAGGGAGAAATCTCGAGAGGTGATAAGTACCGTTCTGAGTGTAATTTGCACTTCTTTTAAATAGGTTTCTCTCAAGATATTTTATGTCTTCAAAGGGAAATCACTTGAAAGTTAAGAGCGGAGCAAAAAATTCAGTCTCTATTGATCATCAGCGGTGGCAACATATAAAGAGCCTCCAACAGAGCTCATCTGAAAACCTGATACACTTCAGTGTTGATGCACCAGGGTCTCTTCCTCTGCCTGCTCTGCTCTTCAGTCACATTTTTTCCTTTCCAACCTACTTTCACTGATAGATTGCAGTTAAGAAAAAAAATTTAATTTTAAACCCCCTCAAGCACCCCTTAGACACCTCATTTAGAGCCCCAGGTCCCATTTACACTGTCCCACAGATCCCTGCATAGACCTGAGGCTGGTCCAGCCCTGAAGGGTAATTATGCCTTCTCATTTGTCAGCGGCTGTTCTACCTGCAACCAGATGCGCTGGGGAACCCGACCTGGGTGTCTTTTGTCACCCGTTGAGTGACACCGCGTTGACAGGATTGTGCAGTCAGCTGGCAAAATAACATCGCTCGACTATCAGGGTACCCAGGCGAACACGGCCAGGAGAGGCCCGCTCAGGGCAGACGCCCGCTCCCCAGGGATGCTCTGCACCCATGGGTGCAGTGATCCTTCTCCACGAATGCTCTGCACCCATGTGTGCTCTCATCCTTCTCCAGGGATGCTCTGCACCCATGTGCAGTGATCCTTCTCCAGGGATGCTCTGCACCCCCATGTGCTCTCATCCTTCTCCAGGGATGCTCTGCACCCATGTGCAGTGATCCTTCTCCAGGGATGCTCTGCACCCCCATGTGCTCTCATCCTTCTCCAGGGATGCTCTGCACCCATGTGCAGTGATCCTTCTCCAGGGATGCTCTGCACCCCCATGTGCTCTCATCCTTCTCCAGGGATGCTCTGCACCCATGTGCAGTGATCCTTCTCCAGGGATGCTCTGCACCCCCATGTGCTCTCATCCTTCTCCAGGGATGCTCTGCACCCATGTGCAGTGATCCTTCTCCAGGGATGCTCTGCACCCCCATGTGCTCTCATCCTTCTCCAGGGATGCTCTGCACCCATGTGCAGTGATCCTTCTCCAGGGATGCTCTGCACCCCCATGTGCTCTCATCCTTCTCCAGGGATGCTCTGCACCCACACGTGCTCTCATCCATCTCTCCTCACCACTTCTCTTGCTCCAGCGCCCAGCTCAGTCTAACACAGCAGCAGCACATAGGCACTAACATCTCGATTTAGTTTCCATAAAACCCACACAAGCATCTCTCTGACCCCATGCTGCACACAGCCAGCCAATGTGCAAGGAATACTTCTAGCATTTGTTTCTGCAGTCTCCTCCAGACGATCCCTTCGCGCTAACCTCTGCAGCGCTGACGGGGGCGAATGGCCTCGCATACACTGAAGCACACGAAACACACCATGGGCTCGGAGATAAAGCCTCCGCTTCCCAGCGCTGACATTGCTCGTCCTCCCCCCACTCCGTAGCCAGCCTGATCTACAGAGCTGGTTTTTGTAATATTATAAACTTCAAAGTAAGTCTCGTACATCCAACAGAATTAACTTCAGTTATTCAGATGCCTGTTAACAAGCAGCTAAAAGGCATAATCCTCACACAGGGCCAGGCAGTTGTGGTCCTCGCTGGATGTTCCTTAAGCGATCCCCAGGAAAAGCAGGGATTTTTATTCCACAGATACAAATCTGCTGCCTTCATTTCCTGGGTTTTACTAAGAAGAAAAGATTATACAAGCCCTTGAAACACAGCAATATGAAACACAGCACTCAAGGCACTACAGAGTAGCTTTTAAATTTGAGTTAATTTTCTGCACATGAAGAAGGCGTTGCTGCTAAAGTGCTATTTCTCATAATGCTCCGTGTGAAATTTGAACCGTTTCCCCTTTGGAGCCTGTTTTTCTGCAGTACAGGCAAAGAGCGAGCACCCATTTGTGGCTCTCTATCTGAAACACTCGTTAAGTCTCGGAGCATCTCCCAAGAACAGCCAGCCCTGGGTTAAGTGGGGTCTGCGGCCAGGTCAGCACATGTCCCACGTCCCCAGGCAGGGACAGAGCCAGGGGCAGCTTGGTGACACAGCGGAGCAGCCGGGGTGCGGGACATCCCCAGGGAGAGCTCCCGTCACAGCAGCAGCAGCTCTCAGCCAGTCCCAGCTCCTGTCAGAGAGTAAATTCGATCTTCCATTGCTGATTTCTTCCACTGAAACCAACACCTGACCTTCTGGTTTAAAAGCCTCTGATCAGGTACAGGCACAGTGAGAACACTGGCTCTAAACCCCGACGTTTCATCTTCGTCCCAGTGTAATCGCTGAAGAATTAAGTTATCGCACGCAGTAAATTCTGCACCAGAAGCCATAAAACCTGCGATCTCCCCGCTGACGGGGAACCGAAGCCAAGCCTCCCGAGGCAGCCACCGGCACCGTCTGTGCCTCAGAGGGACCGAGCTCCCGGCGTGAGCATCTCCAGCGCCGCCGCACGGGACAGCACCCCCTCAGCAGCATCATCTCACGTCCTGCCATCCTCCCTCTAGTTATCCTTGCTCCTGTGACCCCTTCCTTTTTTAAGCAAGATGATGCTGGTTAAAGCCATTTACTATCTTATAGTCCAAATAGGACTAGAAAGAATTTGAAGGCTTTTCTCCCATCCCCAAAAAAACATGTTTCAGAGCACATCAGAAATTTTCATCGTGCCTGTCCTGATCGTAAACAGACGTCCTATTTTTTAAAGGTAATGAGAAAAGGCTGATTGAAAGTGATTCACCGATCCTGGGACGTGAGGACACGACTCCTAATTTGAGCAGGGCCCTGACACAGGCTGCAACCTTCTCCGATTGCTTTCAGCTGAAATGTTAAGCGGAAATTTCACATGAAAGGTCAGCAATCACTCAGCACACCAAAGACATGAGGTTTTTTCCCTTCTCCCACAAAAAAAAAATTAAAACAATAATGAGCAGCCCAGCAACTGAGACACTGTCCACTGCAAGACTAATTGTATAAGCTGGAACTTCTCACTGGGAAAGGACAATGGGTGTTTGGGGAATATTCATAGCCCTCAAACAACAGCAGACACTCCCCTTCGCCCCAGCCAAGGGTCAGGCAGCAAACGCTCTGAGCCGGTCGCAGCGAGTGCCGACGGCCGCAGCAGCATCTTCCCGTCGCCACGCGGGAGAACGACACGGCGGTCACTTCTGCGGTCCAAAGGGTGCAAATCAAACGGCACAGAGTCATGCAGCAGCACAGGTTTTGATGAAAAAAGGCTGATGTGCCCTTTATAGCTGCAGATGCTTCCACACAGAAATTTAACTCGTTTTCTTTTTTAAAGTCGGTGTGCTGCGGCTGGACACCTGCACTGGGCAATTCCTTTCACAAAGGAACGGGATGCAGTTCAGCTTTGACCGATTCGAGGTCTGTCTGGTTCTGGCCGCCGCATCCACGTGCAGCTATGCAGTTTCTTGTTCGATTAATGAAGCTCATTAGCAGAGCGTGTTCCGAGCCTATGTGTGCGTGTCCACTGCACCTCTCACGCTCTGTAATTAACAACTCAATAAAAATACTGTCAGATCCTGTTGTTAAGGGGGAGATTGCATCTGCAATTACCCTGTGTGCAACATTAAAGTTCCACTAAAATTTTAATTACCGCGTGAAGGAGCTTTCAGATTCCTTTGCCAAAACCTGCGTGCTTCACTGAGTACCAAGAGCACTAAGGCACAGCCACAGTCCCATGGACCTGGAACGGCCTGGATGCTGTCTGCTGGGAACCTCATCAGCAGCTCTCACACCGGCCCCAGAACGAGCCGGATGAGTAATTCACTGTGAATCAGTCCCCTATAAATTTAGTCTCCTTTTATTGCCTGACAAACAGCTGCGAGCTGCTCTGGCTCCCTCCCGCCCGTTTGTCTGGATGCAATTGAGGAACCCCACCGACAGTTTTCAAAACTGCAGACTGACCACAAACCTTTGTTGGGAGCCTTTCGGATCATCCATTTTCATCAACTGTCAGAAAAAACGGGGGTGGAAGAGACCGACGGAGGCGACTCTGCTCTCCGGGGACCTCACGGCTCACCCGGAGGCTCTCGGGGTTTTCAGCCACGATGCCGTGACGACGGAGCCCCCGGGATGGGTGCACCCACAGCAGCTCGTACGGCCCCTCCTGCAGCCGTCGTCCTGCCTCACTTGTGCAACTCACAAGCAAAAAGCTACCCACTGCACTTAAACTGAATAAATGCTGGATATCTACTGTCAGTATATCTTTTCCTATGAAAGAACATTCAAATAACTAAAAATGCAATTACTGTTGCTGATGCACATAATGTTTCTTGTATAGCTTACTGAAAATTATTTCTCATTACTCAACATTTCAACTGATCTAAACATTTCCTCTGGGTACCTGAGCATCTGTGGCTGTAACAGAAAGAACGTTAGAGCACAGAGTCAACGATTCACAGTGCAGTGGAGCAAACAGGGACTTAAATTATACCCACGTTTTCTGATCGGAGCTTTTTAGCTGGACAGCCTCCATCTACGGGATGAAGCATATAATAGAGGCGAACTTTGCTGGCATGTTTCCGACTCTGGAAAAAAAAAAAAAAAAAAAGGAAAATAAAGCAAGAAATACAGTTACAAAAAGCAAGAAGCTCTATTGCTGTGCATGCAACACCAACCTGCAATAAGATTTCACATCCCCTTGGTGTACATATCCAACACAGGAGAAAAGGGGGAAAGACCCAGGTGAGGAACATTTGCATTTCACAGAGCTCTCCACCGAGCTGAAGGGAACTGGGGAAGGATTACAACCCCTGCCTTTAGCAGGAGAAACGGTCCACCCTCACCGCC